GCTCTGGGAGCTTTCAGCAGCCTTTAAATCTGAAACTTCTCTGCTGGCGTTGGATTGCAGTGCAAAGGGGTCTGACGGAGTCTGTGAGGACCGTGGCACACACACTCGTGTGATGTGCGTGTGTGTGTGTGTGCACACTTGTGTGTGCCCCTCTTGTGACCTTGGTTCGGACTGGCCGGCTGGCAGCTGCTGCCCTCTTGGCTTCGAAGTGGCGTGGTGTTGTGCGGTCCAGGGCCACCCCTGGCTTTGGGTTGCCGAGACGCCCTCCATCTCGTTCCGGGCTGCCTGGCTTGGGTCACGTGGCCGACTGTCCCTGGGGCGAGTGTCTTCGTTGTAGGTTGTGTCCTCACCTGCCCCCCACAGGCCTGCCTGCTCCATCACATCCGTGGACTTCCAGAGAAGTGTGAACACCTTCAAGCGTTAGGATCCGAATTTGTTCTTCAAGGTGTGTGTGCTGGGAGTGGGGTGAAAGGAAAGTCGTAGGGAGCCGCCTTCCCTGGAACTTGTGAACCCAGGAGAACCAGAGAAAACCGGGCAAACTGCAGCCAGATCATGTGAGAAGGTGGCTGCAGCTGAGGCACCTAACTTGCTGTCAGAACACGATGCCGTGAGTGTGTGCCCGCGCCTGTCCTCCCCTCGGGCTCCTGCTCGTTCCACCAGGTGGCGGGGGTGGGGTGGGGGCACCGAGAAAGGAGGAGGACGTGAGGACCTGAGTGCAAGCAGCTGTGGGGTCAGAGGGAGTGGCCGCACCTGTGATTTCCCCAGCCTGCAAAGGCAGGATGTTAGGGTCGCTTTTTTCCTTCAGTGCCGCCTAATGACAATTTGACTGGCTGAGGGGGTGCCACCAGATGCAGAAGAAGGAGGCAGACCGAAAAGGCTGTCCCTAGGGCCCTGCTGATGGGCCAGTCTGTGAGTGAGAGGTCCTCATGGATGTGGTGGTGGTCCTGGGACCGGAGGGATAAAAAAGGCCTTTGGAGATGGTTTGGGCCAAACTCCTCATGGTGCAGGCGGGGACACTGAGTCTCAGCTTCAAGAAGGGAGTCACGTGGGTCACACGGTCACTTGTACCCGGACTCACACTCTTTGATCCAAGTCCCTACGTTCTGAGGGTGCGTTGGAGTGAATCACTTTCCAAGGATATGCCCAAAAGTCAAGCGGGTGCTGCATCCAAAGGCAAAGCCAGCAGCAAGAAAAGCAAAGCAAACGTTTCCCAAAAGCCTGCATGGGGCTCGGGCTTGTTTCTCCCCACGATGTGGTGCTGCACTGGCAGCACACACACACGATCTGACTTTGGTGTCTATAAATTTGGGGCAAGCAGTCCTCAAATTACAAGGCATCTACCTGGGGCTGAGCCACGTGGGGCCCCCCAGGTTTCTGCAGGCCCTGTGCGCGCGTGCTCGCACACACACGCTCGTACAATCGTTTCCATTACAAGTGAGCCCCTGGGGCTTTTCCAGGCTGGACCCAATCTTGGACATGATTCCCTGGAGGCAGCACAGTCCGGAGAGAAACCCGCAGGCCACTGGGATGACACCAAAATAGACATGTGAAGTCCTGGCTTAATGGCTGGGAGGGAGGGGCAGGGGGGAGCTGTTCACAAACACGTCCACCTGATGGAAATATTCTGAGCTGGCAGGAGCTGTAAATAAACTGGACCGGGCTAAACACAAACATCTCCAGGGAGTTGAGGGATGGGCAGAAATAGATGGTCTTCACCTGCTGAAATGAAGTGGGTCGAGGGGGGCGGAAGATGGGGGGTGAACAAGGCAGAAGCCCCAGCGGGAGGAGCAGCTGCTGGTGTGTGTCCACTGAGGGTGCTCCTGCTTCCCGAAGGAAGTGAGGGAAGGGGCTTTAAAGGAGACAGGGTCTTTCATCAGGGGCGGGCCGCGCAGGATGTAGGCTGCAGGGAGGCACGGGGGCCATAGATGGTCTGGAAACAGTCGCCACGTGCACCTGCTGGTCCCCAGGTACCCCAGCTGACCTTCCAGAATGAGCGCGAATGCCCCCTCTCCCGGGAAGCCTCCGCGCCCCTCCCAGCTGGTCATTGCCTCTTCCTCGCTTCTCTGAACTCCCTGGGGTCCCTGTTAACCTAGCAGCCTGGGCAGATGCTGTCTTGGGTTTGGGGAACCAGGCTCTGTGGACTGTTTGTCACCGAGCCAGCTCCAAGCTTGGGATAAGCCAACCGTCCCTAATGGGGCTACTTTGAACATTTTCATTTTCGGCTGTCACAATGGCTGGGTGAGACGTTTCCTGCAAAGAGCAGGTCAGAACCATACATAAATGGGGGGTCCGTGTGCCACACGACCTTGAAGTGTCACAGGGAAGATTCACGCCTTTTCTGATGACCTCATCCTAGAACCTAATTCTCTTTTACACCCCTCTCTGCAGAACCGCTCTAGTATTAAACTGCGTTTTCTGAGGCTCCTGAGCAATGCCTGTGTTTGTTTTGGTTGGGACTTTTAGGCGGTGTTGTCTGTCATTTGAGAAAGTCCCACGCCTCACAGCGGACCCAGCCCTTGAAGCTTCCGTGTTGCCGTGTTGGCCTTGGCTGTGATCTCACACACAGGCGCAAGCCTCCGCCTGCATTGTCTCGTTTTCCCATCTGCTTCTGCCTGAACGCTTATAATCAAATATGCATATTTTTATACCTTAAATCACTTTTATGGTAAAAAGAAGTAAAAAAAGAGCTCTCTTTTATGTTACATTCAGAGCATTATGTTGATTTTGTAAATTGCATGGATGTGTTGTCTTTTACTTGTAAATTTCATTTTGGGGATAATAAAGGGGACTTTAAATAATATTTCTTACCAACGGGGCTCTTCCAGGGGCTGAGGACCACTGGCCTAGCCAGAGGGATGCGGGTCCTCGAGACACGAGGGGTTGTGTGTGTGCTCAGGGCAGTGACTCCCAGGGCGCTGGAGCTGACACATGCAGCCCCACACCAGAGCCCTCTGGGGAGCACCTATCGGTTGCCTGATGTCTGAGGAAGGTCCTGGAACACAGGGTGGAAAGGGAAGGCCAGCGCTGGCCCCTGGGGGACAAGACTGACAAGTGGGTGCAGGGCTGAGAGGCTTGAGAGGGCGGGGGGCAGCCTTTCTGCGAGGTCAGAGGCTTGAAGGCGTGGAGGCCAGGGCACATCATGAGACTAAAACTGGGAGTTGAAAAATCACAGCTTTTGGCGATGATGGATCTTACTGCTGAGAATGTTCTCGTTCAGGTGTTTGGGTGAACGTGCACCCACTTTCCCATCAGTAAGCACCTAGGAGTGGATTTCTCAGCTAAACGATGTGCCTACATTCAGGTTTAGTAGACAGTGTCGAGCAGTTTTCCAAAAAGGTTGAACCAATTTTCACTCCCACCAGCCCACGCATGAGAGATCTGGCTGTGCCACACCCTGGCAACCTTGGATGTTTTTGGTCCTTTTTGTTTTAGCCATTGTGGTGGGGGTGTGGCGGTGTCATCCGATGTTCAGCGGCCATGGGATGGACACATAGTCACACAGGGGAGCTCTAGTCAGCAGCATGAACAGCTGCAAACACAAAAAGAACCCAAGAGGTTGACATGTATGTCAAGTGCAAACATAGGCCCCAGGAGTCCTCAGGGCTGGAGGCAGGGGCGGTGGGGAGGGAGCAGTGCAGGGACCTGCGGGAGCTGACGGTGCTGCTGGGGGCCGGGCGATGCTGTGTCTGGGCCCTTGCACCCACTTCCAGGGCGCGCTCCCTGTACAGGAGTCTACTGGGCTGGACACTTAGGATCTGTGTCCTTTCTGCGAGGTGAACTTCAACACCGAACACACGCTGACATTGAACATGTGCAAGTCTCCACGTCACATCAAAGCTGTAAGGATCCAGGGCCATCAGTCCACCTCTTTACACCCATGTCTTTTTTTCTTTTAATAATTGTTGGCTTTTATATTTTAACTATTCTTTTTCATATTCTTTTTCATTATAGGTTATTACAAGGTATTGAGTATAGTTCCCTGTTCTGTACAGTAGGACCTTGTTGTTTACCTATTTTATATATAATAGCTAGTATCTGAAAATCCCCAACTCCCAGTTTATCCCTTCCTCCACTCTCCCCCCCGTAACCATAAGTTTGTTTTCTATTTCTGTGAGTCTGTCTCTGTTTTGTAGATAAGTTCATTTGTGTCCTTTTTTAGATTCCACATATAAGTGATAGCAGATGATATTTGTCTTTCTCTGTCTGACTTCACTTAGAATGACAGTCTCTAGGTGCATCCATGTTGCTGCAAATGGCATTATTTAATTACTTTTTATGGCTGAGTAGTATTCCGTCATATAAATACACCACAGCTTCTTTATCCAGTCATCTGTTGATGGGCATCTAGGTTGTTTCCATGTCTTAACTATTGTAAATAGTGCTGCTGTGAACATTGGGGTGCAGGTGTCTTTATCCAGAGTTTCCTCCAGATATATGCCCAGGAGTGAGACTGCTGGATCATATGATAACTCTATTTTTAGTTTACACTCACATCTTAAGACATTAAACTGTCGCTCTCTGGTGAGCATGGGTGACCCCGAATGTGTGTGTAGAGTCTGGAGTCAAATGCGTGTTTGAAGTCGTGGCTCTGGGTCTAATTGGCACTGCCTCCAGCCCTGGCTGCCTGCTGCTCCGAACAGTTCCTTCCAGGCACAATATCAAGGTTATTAACAGACACTGACTTCTCCCTGTTAGTTGGGGGGCACATTTTGAGTCTGTTTGAACTTTGCATTCTTTGTCCTATCTACAAAGTGAACAGTCAGCATCTGGGGAAGGAGACCTGGACCTTCTAAGGTCGCAGTGTATGCACTAGCTGCTCTCTTACTCAGAAGGTGGTGGAGGGCTACGTCAAGGAGAAGCAGGAGGTATGCTCGCATCTAACAGGCTGGAGAGCAGACGCGGACATCTGGGGTGGCATGCGGGTCTCCCCCTGGGCCCGGGGGTCACACAAAGGCCCTACTGCTGACCCGCACTAATGAGCAGTGCTTTTCTCTGAACAGCCCTTCCCGGCCTGGACCAGAAGAAGCGTGGCAGCCACAAAGCATGCTGCTTGCTGACCCCTCCTCCGCCCCCGCTCTTCCCACCACCGTTCTTCCGAGGGGGCCGAAGCCCGGTGAGTACCTCAGGGCTGGGGGCGAGAGCAGAAACCCGGGCCCCAGGCCCACCGCACAGCCCACCCGCACCCCTGCCATTTGGACACTTTGCAGTTTGGGGTGCATGTCTGTTCTCCCACTGTCTTAGACTCCCTGGGAGAAGACTCTCAGGGAACTGGACTAGGCAACGTGCCCCATCTTCTCAAAAACAATGAGGTGGATTTATGACTTTCTGGGGTCCCATTAGTGGCCCAGACCAAGAATTTCCCCTTTTGTTTTTCTTCTCCCCAAGTGAAATTTCCTTCCACAGCCTGTATCTAACTTAGACCATCTCCATGAAGTGACACATGAAATAGTCCTGTGAGGGGAAATGGAACTGGGGAAGAGGGGAAAAGGTAAGGAAAGTGCGAGATTTGGGATGCTGATGTGGAAGACAACAGGCCAGGGCCTTCCGGGGACTTGAGATGCTCAGATCTTTCCAGAAGCCTTTGGACCTCTACCATCCAGGACAGTAGCCACTGGCCCTACATGGCTATTGAGCACCTTTAACATGGTCAGTCCCAGTTGAGCTGTGCTCTGAGCATGAAATACACACTGGATGCATTTACAAGAATGTAAGATTCTCGGTAACTTTCTATGTTGAATATACATTGAAATAATAATATCTGGGATATATTGGGTAAAATAAAATACTTCTTAAAATTAATTTCACTTGTGTCCTTTTATCTTCTTAATGTGGCTACCAGAAAAATGTGAGACACAGGTGTATCACATTTTATTTCTGTTGGCCAGTGCTGCCCCGGACATTGGATAGAGGCCCCTGAATCAGCTTCCTTACACATCCCAAGTGGCCATTATGTCTCCATAGAGTGACGGTTGTACCTCTTCCCTTCCAATTCGGATCCCTTTTATTTCTTTTTCTTGTCTGATTGCTATGGCTAGGACTTCCAATACTGTGTTGAAGAGACATTATATTGCTATAATCTGTTCAAGCCAAGTTTGTCTCCAGAGCAGGTGAGAGAACAGGAACGGGGGGCCCGGAAGTCGCCTTCTTGGGATGCCCACTGAGGTGCTGGGGAACTGCCAGCCTAGGGGCTGGACTGTGGAACAGGTCTGTGTCCAGGGGTGTGACCCTTCTGTCCCCCAAGTCTGACCTGTAACCTGTGTCACTTTGCTTTGAAGCTTCTCTCCCCAGATATGAAGAATCTCATCCTGGAGCTGGAGACCACGCAGGAACCCCCATGTGTGCAAGGGTCACTCAGCTCCCTTGGGCCTCCGGGCCCCCAGGTCAGTGCATCCCCAGGACCTCTCCCCTGCCTCTGTTCAGAGCAGGGATAACCACTGGGCAGAGCTGCCCTTTCTAATGTGACATGGGGTGTTTTCCTTCCCTGGGTTGCCTCTAGTTCCAGAGACACGTGGATAGAAAACTGGTTCTTCCCGGGGTGAATTCTGCCTCCCAGCTTTCCTGTTGACTTCCTTATGTGTACAGTGGGGCTGATAGCTTCCCCTGCAATACTGGATTCTGGGGTGACCAAGTGAGGCGCTACCCAGTTGGGCATGGTTATCATATAGTTATCATCAGACAAGCATTGATGACAGTGTGACCATGGACCCCACCAGTGGATGCAGGGGTGCCTGCATTCAGGGCAGAAAAATGGAGACAACAAGGAACATGTTACCCTAAGCTTATTTGGGCCCCCAGATACGAGGCAGCCCATCTCTCCCCACCAGAGCTAAAGTAAGGGTGAGGGACAAGCAAAATGCCAGAGAAAGGATTTTCTAGGCCAGCAAAGAGTACCCTCCATCCAGAGACCCTGCCTCACAGACTCCCGCCCCTCTGGCCAGCCTGGGAGAGGGGATCCATGAAGGAGGGACGTCCCCTGGCCTGGGGTCTGGGCCTGCTTCCCATCACGGAGGACTGAGACAGACCCCTCATCCTGGAGCAAAGCCCCTGCACGAGGGACCCTGCCCGCAGCTCTTGCATCAGCTCACACGACCGCCACTGCCCACGGTGCATCTCTCTGGTCCTCAGCGCCCCAAGCCTGTTCCGGTCTTAGGCCCTTGGTGCTTGTGGCTCTGGCTGTCTGGGACCTTCTTCCCCCTGATTTTTAGTGTGACCAGTTCTCTGGTCACTCAGTGTGCACACCCCTACACAGAAACGCCTCCCCCGCCCACCCCATCTGCAGGCACCTTCCCTGTCTCTCTCCAGCCAGTGATCCGTCTTCATTCTCTGCATAGTTTTCTCCTGTTGTTAGAGTTTTCTTACCTTTGGTGCCTGATCTTTTTGGTCTACCCTCCATAAAATGTAAGCTCTGTGGCTGGGATCCGTAAACGATGATCCAGGGGTTCAACCGGCTTGTTTTTGCAATTAAATTTGATCATCTCTGGCTACGTTTGTGCTGAAGGGCAGAGTTCAGCTGTTGTGACAGCATTGCTGTATCAGAGGCAAAGCCTGAGATATTGACTCTTTGGCTCTTTATAGAAAAAGTGAACTGGCCCCTGATCTTATGAGCAGGGCAGTTGTCTCCCTTGCTCACGTGCACCCAGCCCACACCCGTGCATGGGGGGTAGAGGTTCCCCTTGCAGATTTGTTGAATGCAATGAGGAAAACAGGACCTCGGACCCTCAGTTGGTCAGAGCTGCCACAGACAGGCTGGAAAATCTGTGCAAGGACAGGGTGGGCACCAGAGGATCCCCTCTCGGGAAATTTCCATCGTCCCACCTCTCATGGTCCATGCGGACAGTGTGTGACTGTGTGAGAACCCACAGAGCACGAGAAGGGAAGTGGGTCCCTGCTGCCATCAGACTGCAATCTCCAGCACATGTGCAGTCCCGCTGTGTAGAGCATGCTGGCCTGATAACAATAAATATTTCTAGCCCATTTGAAGAAATGGAAAAAATGGAGGCTTGGAAAAGGAAAAAGAGTGGAGTTGAAACTCGCCCTCCTTCCCTCCTAAAACAGAAGGAGTTTCTGTTGGGAACCAAAGACAGTGGTTCCCAAACTTTTCTGCACATCAGAATCCACCAGGAGCTTCAAGAATCCCTGATGCCTGTGCCCCTTGGAAATTTTCAAAGATCCCTGGGGGTTCTACTGTGCAATCGGCTCAGGAAACACTGGCCCTGGGGGCTGGGCCGTCTGTCATTTGGACAAGCATTATAGAAACCCTATTCCAAACAGGCTTTGTGCGAGGCATGTCCACCTGCAGGTCTTGGGGATGAAGTGGTGGCCTCAGGGTTTGATGGATTTCCTCTCTGCTGTCCTGGGGAGCTTGGAAAACAGTTGGCAAGCTAGGTGTTTCACAGACGCGTGAGCAGAGAGCAGCGGCGCTCTGCTGTGGGTGTGCCGGGCTCTAGTGCAGCGGGTGCCGGAGTCCCTGAGCGGGAGTCGGCCCCGCTCCCGGGCCGTGGGGCCCAGGTGCACCGTTTCCTTGCCCATGTCCTTAACGTCTTCAAACAGAAGGCTTCTGCTGTACCACTGAGGGCTTCTTCAAATTCACTGTGGGAGTTTCTGAGTCCGCTGCTCTTGTGTGCAAAGCACCCCTTCCTCTTGTCGGGGACACTTGGTAGGAGCAGCTGAAAAGGTAGGAGAGGTGGTGAGGCATCTTGCTTTCAGCCAGTAGCCTTTCTGCAAGACTTTTTAGTTGCTCTCACCAAGCCCTCATTATGTTTCAGGCAACCCAAGAATTCCAGGGAGCAAATGACAGTCACGGAGCGTGGGTGTGTGAGCATGGCAGTAACACAGCTCAGGGAAAGCTGGGGGAGCCGGAGCCTGGGCTGGAGGGCTGGAGGGTCCTCCCTGCGGTGCCTGGAGCCCTGAGTCTGCAGAGCGAACAGGGCCACCGATGCAGGCACCCAGGGTACCAGGACCCCCACCACCCCCGTCCCGCCTCCCTCCCCGCTCATCCTGCCCTGGTCTGATGTTCACTTTCTTCACTTCTCTTGATTCTGCAGGGCCCACCAGGGCTTCCTGGCAAGACAGGACCAAAGGGAGAAAAGGTATGAGCCACCGCTTTCTTTATCCCACGTCTCCTAGGTAACCGCAGCCTGTTTTCTCGGGGTGCCACGGAGTAGTTTCTGGGTGAGATTTCAAAGCATGTGCTAATCCCACCTTCTGGGTGAGGACTGGCTCCGTGAAGACCGGGCTGCTGTGAGTGTAGGACCCCACCGGTGGGTCTCAGCATGGCCCCCCGACATGGCCAGGGTGCTGTGAGCTGCCCGGGGACCCAGCTGCAGGGGCATGCCCTGTCATCAGCCCTGCTGAGCCCTCTGCTTCCAGAACTTTTCCTCCAAACAGCCTCTGCTTACCTGTCTTCTCCATCCACAGGGGGAGCTAGGCCGACCAGGAAGGAAGGTATGGAACAAGCCCCGTGTGTGTGTGAGTGTGTGCACCCTGGGAGTGGGTGGGGACCAGCCTTGAACCTCCACGGCCCTGATACCCAGGTGGTCGATGATGGCTCTTCCATCCCCATGACAGTAGCCCACCGTGCAATCTGGAGATGCAACCTGCTCCTGCCAGCATTCCGACGTCTGCTGGAGGCTGCCAAGCCTGGCCAAATATCCCCCGGCCTCTGCGGCCAGCAGATAAACCCTCCAGGGCCCCAGTCAGTGGCACAAAATGACTCTCCCTGTCAATTCAATTAAACTGGAGTAAAGTGTCAGACAGAAACAATGGTTTC